GTATAAAACCAACAGCGATGAAAACCGCCACTAACAGGTTCAACTAAAACATATATAAATATATATTATAAACTTCAAAACTGAAATAAACTAAAATACACTTACACAATTTTAACTATTTTGCTTTTAAAAATATTAAGACTATCATAAAAAATATCAATATTAAAACAAGTATCAAGTAGTCTATTAAATTCGTTCGGTAAACGTTGAAAAATACCCCGTTTTGTGCAATCAACATGACCGTAAGGAACATGAAGTAAACACTTACTGCGGGTACGAGTCGGGATGTTTAAACTGAACATAGAAACAAGAGGACAATCATAAATGGAATTTAAAGACTTATATAAAAAAACCATGTCAAAAATAATTCTACGATTTTCAAGAGACATAAGAGAGACATTATAATTGGGACAAGTATGACTAAGAAACCTAATAAACTTATTAAACATTAGAAATACGCTGAGCTTGTGTAAAAGAAACTGAACTAAAAATAACAGAACAATATTCCAAATGGGGGCGCACAATTGAACGGTAAAGAGATACTAATGTCTTGTCATTTTTCATAAACCTGCAATTCCTCTATAATAAAATAATTGTTTGTGTAATTCTGTGCATTTTAAAACCAAGATCAAGCAACCATTGAGCGCTCTTGAGATACATGTATTAGTATTTTAGACCCTCCTATAAAAAATTTTCCCCACTCCCTAGCCGACCTAACTTATGTTTTGTGTATTCTGGTATATATCCCTACACAAATCAATTGAAATCAGCTTCTTTTCTAATTTTTTCATAGATTGGCTCTAAATTCTGCTAATTTTGAGATATAATTGCATTAATCTTAGACCCAGAAAACTAAGTTGATTTGACCTTGGACTTGTACCCATTTTCAAACTTTATGGTACGGCTTGATCAAGATTTCTGTTGCAGTATTTATGGAGTAAGAAACACTATAATTATAACTTGATCGTTCCTCATTATTTTAGCAGAAGATATAGCGACAAATCCAGGTCCATCGGACCTGTGCAGTTTGTGCTCAAGGGCTGTATGCTCAAACTAATGTGGAATTTTCTACGACGAATGAGTAAGTAGATATGAACAAGAATGAATAATTATAAACAACTATCTAATTCAGACAAGGACTGCTGGTTCTGCACGTGATGGTCATTACCGCAATTTCCAGATACTTTTTTTGAGGATAACACGATTGATTTTGTAAAAATCACTTGATGATTCAAGGGAGGAAAATCCATTTGCTTTCCTTACATTCGATGATGACTCTCTATTCAGATATCTTCTAGCTAAATGAATGGTATGAATTTGATCCACTTAAATGTACTTTTCCTTACAGTGACTTCCAAACTATCTGTACGCAGATTTATAGTAGATAAATGCATGTATTACAGCGGTAATTGAGACTTGGTTGGACGCTCTGTGAGCAATAAAGAAGTCGATATACCAGGATATGACATTCACAGGAAAGGTCGCGATAGACATGGTGGTGACGCCTGTGTCTATATCAACTCCAAGCTCACATGAACCCCAAAGCCATTAACGGACAGGCATTACTGCTTCAAAAATGTAATGACTTACCAAATGGTCAACGTGAAATTTTTCAAAACATTCAGAATATCAATGAGAACATTGAAATTTTGACCACTAGAGTTCACAAAGCTGAGGAAGCAATTGAAGCAAACAAGGATGGTGTCGATAATCTGAAAGCAAAAATATTTATGATGGAAGATAGCACGGAAAGCTTAAATAATATTAATCAATAAAAGCTTCTTGTTAATATTAAATAATTAGAAGATAAAATTGATGATTTGGAGAATCGTTCCCGACGAAATAATCTTATTCTCTATAATCTTCCTGAGACTGCCTGTATTAAACCAATGGGGTCTGTATTAGATATATTTAACTCTCACATGAAAATACAGAAAACATTGAAGTTGAGTGTGTAAATTGTGCACCATTTTTGAGTACAAAAAGAAAATCTGCAGCTGCAGAGTACCCCACTAATATAAAAACTTTTGCGTTACCAGGATAAAATAACTATTCTAAGACAGGTTGCTAAAATGCTAAAGGACCATACCATGGCCAGAAAATATTTATTGGTGATGATATTTCTGCAAAAGACAAGAGCGCAAAATATTGAGAGAAAAGCATCTGCGGAAGATAAAGGATCTTGAAACCGTTAAGTATGGTTTCATACAACACAGTGTGCGATCAGTAATTAAATATAAATGGTACATACAAGATCTTCCATTCTGAATAATTAAACCTGTCGTTTAGTCTACAGAAATATAATAATTTAAACCTCTCATCCGAGAGACGATGAGCTATTGTAACTTGTATTTCAGCCCTCCAGCTGAGACACAAGGAGAGGCAAAGATGGGAATTGTTCAGCGCACACACAGTAGCTACCACCAGATTAGCCGACCGAGCTAAGCTGCTCTCTCTATCTTTCAACGTGTTTGACATTGAACTCTTTACCGTTGCAGAAATTCTGAGGAGATATTAGATTAATACATTATCAATTTGGAGACATTTTTTGTTTATAAAAGTAATACAATAAGCATGCAAAACTACTTCAGGACTAGGTCTTAGGTGAAGTAGTCTATGATAGAGACACCTACCAAAACACATCTCATAGTATTACATATAAATTGATGAGGAGTTGCGCTTAGACTGCCATTGTGAAAGTTAAGAGAACATAACTTACTGGAGCATTACTTGGCACATAGGCCTAAACTCAGACAAGCCAGAAAGGGCTAGCCTACCTACCTAAGGCCTAGCTACCTTTACTGTCTTCCTTGCGATACTATTAAACATGTTATAATTTTCACGTCGACCTGAAACTGCTCTGACGATAAGCCATACGACGGGCTGCGTCGTACGACGCTGTCTGAGTTGGTCTTTATGCGACAGGAAGGACACAGACACAAGACACACACAGAGAGGCGAAGACAATAAAATATTTTCTGATTTTCTTTTCTTCTAATATCACTATTTATTTTTATTAACCGTCCTGATATTAATCATTTGATTCTATTTACAGTTATGATTCCACTCAAAGTAATGGCCGAATCAATACATGAAAGATCAATAACCGTTTCGTGGGCCTCTCGTGCAAAAGTTGCGATCCGAGAAACACAAGTAACCTACCAAGGCACTGTAGAAAACAGATTGTTGCGGATTAAAACGATTTATAATGATCGGATAGCAACGTTAGATGGTTTGTATCCAGGAGATCTTTATAATGTTGAAGTAAAAGCCATCAGTCCAACTTATAAGCAAGCAAATGCCAAAGAACTGTTTGGAACACGTAAGTGACAAAATTTCATATCTAGTTTAAAATTAAACGCTTGACTTAACTATAGCAAGAAATGAGTAAAAGATTACGGTACTGTATTATCCCTATCTAATCACAAATGGAATGCTACATGTTGATATAATAAATAAAATAGGAAATCTTTTTGTGTCGATTATAAACAAAAAAAGTAAACACATACAAAAATTTAAAAAAAAATACAAATAACATAAAAACTTAAAATCAAATTATAATGACGAGCTTGTGGCTTAAACATACGCAACAACTGTGTCAAAATGTGTGAAAAGTCATTTTCTTTCAGTACAATAACAAATGAAGTGGATCCTCTACACTGTATCCAAACATACACATTGGACTGTATCGTAAACAATAAGTACGTAATTGTGAGTTCAAACTGCTGAAAACAAGTATCCTTGTATCAATTTGGTACATTATTTTCAATCATCTTCATAACAATAGCTTTCTTTGTTTTGAATTAACTTCTTTGTTCCAATTTAAAATTTAGAATTTACCGGCTTAATGTATAAATAAATAATTATCTGCATGGGCCTGTGAAGGTTTACTGGGAAATAGTCTCACAGTATATATATGATAGGCCTGGTCTTGGTTGTTTTAGCGATAACACGATTTTGAAAAGTTTAAATCTTGTTTTCTTTTTAATTATATCCTAAACTATTTATTTTATAATCTGTATTGTGCATTCAAATTTGTAGCATTGGAAATTATTATTATATTGGTTAACCAATGCTAAAGTTTTCAAACATCAAAGACACATTTGGTTACCTTGCTTTTCCTGTCGGCATCCGTCAACAAAATCATAGCTAATATAGCCTTCTATTGAAGGTGCAGTTCCAGCATGTATGACTATTACAAATACGTTAATTGTACAATAATTGTACAGTTGTACAATAAACAAAAAAAAATCATCACAAAATAACAAATAAACACATTTTATGTATGAAACACAAAAAGGGGCAGCGATAGCAATTGAACCAGGGATATAGCCAAGGTTCAGCGTACACAAAGTGGCTACCACAATATTAGACGACTGAGCTAAGCTGCTTCCTCATTCTGTTCAATCCTGAATGGCCCTAATCCATATTTGCGTGGCCTTATTTTTGCAATAACGCCTTCCACTTTGCTCTCTGCCACAATTTTTGCAGTCTCCCATCTCTAACAACATAGCCAAAATATTGTATTTTTCTGTTCATGATATTTTTTAAGGCCTTTTTTTTAAGAATTTTTGCTGAGAATCCGTATATAAGGCCTCGATCTTATCTCACATTTCAGTATTCGTTCTCCATCGTTCACTTGCATATAGGCCTATGAATAGGAAATTATGTAACCTGTCAATGACTACTAGCAGAAAAGCCATTATTTTAGTTTTAAGTAATTTTTTGACTTTTGTACTACAAAAAAAAAAAAAGAAAGAAAAAAAGTTCTATAGGATCCTGAAAAAAAATCCTATAGGATCTTATAGAACAATATTTTATAGGTTCTTGACAGATCTCATAAGACAACATCATATAGGATCATATAGGTTAAAAAACATATAGAATCCAATTCATCGGTTAAGTAGGAAAATTATTTTTTAAAATCCTATTTTATCTTATAAGACATGTCCTATTGGATTTTTCGTATACGTCCTACAGGATTTAAATTATAGCATTTGTCTATAGGCAGGGATAGGACTTGTCCTATAGAAACCTATCTATATAATTTGCCCTTAGGAACATATAAGATTTGTCCTATAGGAACCTGTACTACTTGTTCTATAGGAACCTGCAAGTTTCGTCCTATAGGAATATAGGAACAAATAGGACAAATTCAAATTCTATAGGTTCCTAGAACAAATCGTAAGAGAAACGATAATCTAGCATTATCATATTCAATGGTTTTCAAAGATTCGAAAAGAAAGTAATAGTGATTTTTACAATCATGGTATAAAAAATAGCTATCAAGCATTTGCTTTTTAAATAGCAATGGGCAAAAATTATTACATTTTTTGAAATTTATTTTTTTAATGAAATAAATATTCAGTGCTCTGAATTATAAAATTAGTATTTTATCTATTTATGTCAATTAATTAAGCAAATAAAAATAAATAAAATATTTTAATAATCAAAATTATTATCATGCATTTTGTACAATCGCTAAAAAAACACAAAACAAAAAACAATGACATTTCCGTTACCTATCCTAATTTATAAATTTAAAGGTTTTAATAAGTGTCATTATGAAACTAGTATAGAGTACGGGAAAACATGTTTATATTTAGCTAAACACCTCACATTATAAAAACAAATTTTCAGAAAATATTTAAATAATCCTTTTCTTATTAACTTGAAATATAAGTTTTGATAAAAATGAGTCATAAACTATCATATTGCATATAATTGTATTAAAGTTTCTTTTATTTATTTGTTTGAAATACAGCAAATTATCAATTCAACAAAACATAATCATTCTTATAATTACATTTTACAAAATACATCAGATACAAATTAAAAGATAAGTACGAAAGCCTATTAGGGCCACTGAAATATATATTTTTATGTCGTAATTACGACTTATTATGTCGAAATTTCGACATACGTATGTCCTAATTACGACTTATTATGTCGAAATTTCGACATAATATTTCGAAATTACGACATACGTATGTCGTAATTTCGACATATTATGTCGTAATTTCGACATACGTATGTCGAAATTTCGACATAATAAGCCGTAATTACGACATACGTATGTCGAAATTTCGACATAATAAGTCGTAATTACGACATACGTATGTCGTAATTTCGACATATTTATGTCGTAATTACGACATAGGCTTGGGCCACTATTTATATTTATGGGCAATACAAAAACAAGAAAATGGTGGATTTTTGTTTAAATATACAACATTAAAAAGTCAATTTAATGCTAACATTAATAATAACTTCAGGTATCAGAGTATATTTATTTTTAAAAGTAATACAATTGGGAAAAAGTCGTCTGGCCAAAGCCTGTGCGGCCGGTGTGGTTCCGATGGACCTGCGTCAGTGATAAAATGCACGTAGACGAACGCACTGCGTTACGAATCTACATTGCGTGTTACATGTAACCACTACTTCCTGAGTGCGGTAATCGATTTATTAACTATTATACAGAATATGCCTATACAGATTCCTTTAGAGGAACAACAGCACCCCATTTACTCCTATATGGTTGTTGACAAATACTATTTTTTAGAGTGCCATATCCAAATGAACTTGTTTTTATTTACTTCACATCAACAGCAAGTACACCTGTGTCTTATACACATCTAGATGTGTATAAGAGACAGGGGTGTAATTGTGAAGGTCATTATCTGACGTCCCAAACCTAAATATCTCAAAAAATGTATCAATGGATCAAATAGTTATGAGATTACTCATAATAGTTTGTCATAGTCCAATAAAGAAATGATTACATTTTTTTAAATAAAATACATAAAAATAAGAAAAAAAACCCGATCGCCCAAAACGCCTCAGAGGTTATTTTAGTCTTTAAAACAAATAAAAAATTTAGCGGGGAATTCCCCTGGATCCCCTGTAGTGTTATGTCGATTGGCCCAACTTTTTTACCCACCCACATTTCTGTCAACCCACCCCCCTTTTTGTCGACATCTCTTGATCTGCACCCGAATATGGTGTGTGCGCAGGAGGGAACTCATTACTCATACCACGTTTCTCAACCACATTTCTCCATACCATGTCCCCACTTCGTCGTCCCATTCCGTTGTCCCCACCCTTTCTGTCCCACCTCATCGACCCAACCCCGTTAGCCTATCCTAATCAAATTCAAAATGCTTTTACATTTTCAGAATTCAAAATATTTAAACATTTTGTACCGGACAAAATTGCACCGCGGGGAGGCTATCTTTTTACTACGTAGCGTAAAAGGAATAATTCTAGTTATTATATATATTATCATTATTTAAACAGTATTTTTATATTTAATTTATATCTGCCCTGTCATGAAAAACTCACTTAACTTACACATTTTTCAAAATGTACTTTTTAGCTATTTGCTCTTTTGGGGACATGTGTATTCAGAATTTTGAAATTATAACTGAAAATATGAAATTCAAAATTAAAATATCACTCAACTGCAAGTCACAACGTTTCAATCGTACGTAAGTGAAGCTGACGAGAAACAATACGTACAATGGCCCAAGCCTATGTCGTAATTACGAAATAAATATGTCAAAATTACGACATACGTATGTCGTAATTACGACATATTATGTCGAAATTTCGACATACGTAAGTCGTAATTACGACTTATTATGTAAAAATTTTGACATACGTATGTCGTAATTACGTCTTATTATGTCGAAATTACGACATAATAAGTCGAAATTACGACATACGTATGTCGTAATCTCGACATATTTTGTCGAAATTTCGACATAATAAGTCGTAATTACGACATACGTATGTCGAAATTTATACATAATAAGTCGTAATTACGAAATAAAAATATATATTTCAGTGGCCCTAATAGGCTTTCGTAGGTATGTAAACAAATAACTTAAAAATCACATCACTTCATTTTGTTATATAATTTTTTTTAGAGTACTATAATCAAACAATTCTTAAAACACGATATTGTCTCATAATATGCTAAAATATATTGACACAGTATTATAATCAAATCTGTTGGATATTATATCCACATAATAGATGACGCTATCACTGTGACGCGCTATGCGGAAAGCTTGAATAAAGTTGTTGTTATGATGAACCTAAATGGTGGTGTAGTCTAGTCTCGTTTATGGAGTATTTTTCGAGGACTAATTGACGTCCCTAGAGACATTTCAGTGGCGACGAGGTGGTTAAACGAATACCAAATATACTAAGTGTATCGTAAATATGGCCGTAAAAATCGAGTTTGCGTCCTAAATTCTGAAATTAAATTTGGAAGCCGAGCCGACGACCCTCGCGGTAAGATGGCGGGAATGGAAGGCT